TAACACATAATGAACAGAAATAAAAGATAATTAAAAATTGTTTGATCTTTTAAATAGATAGTTAATTGGGACACATGCGTATATATATATATATATATATATATATATATATATATATATATATATATATATATATAAAGAACAGTCAGATTTATAATCCAGAGTTCTATAGCATTCATTTTAAAAAAAACGGTGCTCGATACACAGTAGAGCATAATATTATAATTATTATTTAAAAATATGTTTTCATCGCGACACAGAAATTAGCATAGCTGAAACCAAAACCTAAATCTTAAATTATTAAATTTAAGATTTAGATTTTGGTATCGAAACATGCTAATTTCTGTGTCGCGATGAATATATATATATATATATATATATATATATATATATATATATATATATATATATAGGTAGTAATCCGTTGGTATAATCCAGGCGAGTCCTATTAACACAACATAGAATTTGAAATATTTTAAAACTGACTCACAAAGAGCGCTCAATGTTTATTTTCATTAAACAGAGGAAATTTTCTTTACAATTGGAATTAAGATACCTTTAGTGTATTACCATTTTCATCTACGAATTTTAATTTTAAAATTCGCAGGATTTTTCAAACTGTTTAGGTATCAGTTTCTAGTGGGATCTCTACAAACTGATATAAACATTCTGAAAAATCCTGCGAATTTAAAAACTAAAATTGTAGGTGAAAAATGGTCATTAACTAAAGGTATCTTAATTCCAATTGTAAAGTATATATATATATATATATATATATATATATATATATATATATATATATAACCGTTTACCATATTCTGTGCCGGCGATGAATTAATCTCAGTCTTGCTGGGTGTCCTAGCAACATGGCAGCCTTGGGTTAAATTAAACAGAGATTCGCAAATATCTACAGGTGAAAAAACTGATATGTCTACATAATGACTTGAACCCCCATTCCGTTTCTATCCAACACTGCTGTTTAAAATATACAACGTCCGGTTTTATCAGCGGCTTCGTTTATCAGAGAGACTTCTGAAATCCCCACGGAAATTGCTCCGTCTGACAGACAGCACCTGGAAAAAATGTCTGGCTCGCTATTTTTCCATTCCTTACAACATCTTTGCAATCATTCTCTTTAGCTGAGATGCAAACAGGGATTTCCTGTGGATTTCATAAGAGAGCAACTTATTTTCTTTCGTCGTGCGAAACAGCTGGCGAGATGCCACTGACGAGAAACACCGATTGCCCAACGAGATCTTGATAGACTGAATCGTTATAGGCACGAGACACTTGTACGTTTAGCTCAGTGGTTAAGGCAGTTGATATGTGTACTGAGGTTCATTTTCTCAGAAAGATAACAGATGCGCATTATTGTAACGTTATTCAGCAAGAAGTAAAAACACGCACATGAATGCATATATATATATAATCGGTTTTATCACAGACAAGGCTGTAAAACCACTAAGACACAAGAGGTTAGTGTGTATGGAAGAATTAGGAACAGAAACATTAATAATTAGCGGGAAGAGAAAAGAGTAATCAAGAGGACAGTAGGTAGCGATTGTCATTGCATTTAAATTTATATATATATATATATATATATATATATTATGGTCCGGTTCCTTGTACCACGGTGATAGTCCAAGGTAGAACCAATAAAGAAGAACTCGAACACAGGTATGGAATAACACAGCTATATTACAAACAGGAATATATACAGAGAAGTAGAATTATTAGTATGAACAATCAGGTTTAGTAGAGAGAACAATGTAGTCTCGACCAGTATCACTATTCCAATGTCATGCAGTAATTGTCTGAACGCGACTCTGTTTCGGACTGCCTCTTACTCGACTTGAACGACTGACGATATTCAGTCACTCCCCCCACGAGGGTGTCATATGGCACAAGGCCTTTTTAACGTGGGCATTCCCGAGCCATTAGGCTCGGCCAAAAAATAGCCCATTTGAACTCGTATAAACGGGTTCAGGGCCGGTTTTACCTCCCCGAAGGAGACTCCGCCTTTCGGCGAGCCTCCTTCAGGTTCCTCCCGCCCGTAGGAAGAGAGTTCAACCGTGCAGTCGGTTCAGAAGTGAACGACTGACGATATTCAGTCACTTGAACTACTGACGATATTCAGTCACACCCCCACCACAAGTGTGTCATGTGGCACAAGGCCTTTTTAACGTGGGCATTTCCGAGACATTAGGCTCGGCCAAAAAATAGCCCATTTGAAACCGTATAAACGGGTTCAGGGCCGGTTTTACCTCCCCGAAGGAGACTCCGCCCTTCGGCGTAGCCTCCTTTGGGTTCCTCCCGCCCGAAAGCCGAGAGTTAAACCTAACCGTTCGCTCAGAAAGTGAGCGAGGGACTCGCTGCCTACTCCTGAGGCGCAGTAATTATTAAGTATGGAATAGTTTATTATTATTATTATTATTATGGATAAGATCCCATAATATATATATATATATATATATATATATATATATATATATATACACACCGAATGTAATGAGAACGAAAATAATATATAAATTCTAACGTTCACAGCATTAATTCAAAAGAGGGCTCAATAATGATAGTAGAGCAATAATTATTTATTATAATTTTTCACAAAAACAATTTACTCACTGCAAATATGCAACGTTGTTTCAGTGCATTTAAAATTGCACTTCGACTGGTGAGAACCAAAATCATTAAGAACAGTTCTGTTTATAAGCAAGCCGCCTGTGAGACGTTACTTCCTTTTTTCAATTTGTTTGAAAAAAAAAATAGAAAATAAAAAAATACATAAAGGCAAAAAGGTGACGGAGTGAAACAATAATGGTTGTTGATAGCAGTTTGGTGAAGGATGGTTGAGGTGTTAAAGTAATGACTAGAGCTGAAGAATTTTTCTTTTCGACAACAGCGGTCAAGGGTTTAGGTACAAACTCGAATAACTATGTATTCAACATAACCAAGAAGAAATCTCCACCTCTTAATTTATTAATTTACAAAACACTTGATTACAAAACTAGTAGTGATAACTCCATCCTAAATATATGCAATTCAGCTCTGGCTTAGTTTTTAAAATAAACCCACAAGAAAAACATTCCCAAATATTACAAACTATCATTTGAATTTTTCCCTCCTTCCACTTTCATCATATTAATATCTCCTATTCTCACCTTTCCTCTCACATCCCTTACTCTTCAGAGGCTTAGAAATGCTGTGCCTAAACCCTTGACCGTTGTTGTCGAAACGAAAAATTTTCAGATCGAGCCATTACTTTAACACTTCAACCATCCAAATTGCTAGCAACAACCACTATTGTGTCACGCCGTCAACTTTTTGCCTTTATGTATTTTTTTAATTTTTTCAAAACAAATGGAAAAAAGGAAGTTACGTTTCACATGCGGCTTGCATACAAACAGAATTGCTTCTCACCAGTCGAAGTGCAATTTTAAATGCACTGAAACGAAGTTGCATCTTTGTAATATTTTTTGTCTATATGAAAGAATTATAACATATATATATATATATATATATATATATATATATATATATATATATATACTTTAATAATCAGGAGTTAAAAGCTCTACATGTTATTTTTATTTTATTCATTTCTCAGATGTATTGATCACATTTTAATACTATATATATATATATATATGTGTGTGTGTGTGTGTGTGTGTGTGTGTGTGTGTGTGTGTGTGTGTGTGTGTCAATTAGACAATAAAATCCAAAATTACCTTATATGAGGAATAGGCTTATTTCAACCGGCGATAAATTCGTCCGTTTTATTTATCAATGTGTAATAATAAATACATTGAGCTCTTTTTATGGATCAGTTTTAATATTTTATATTACTAGGATCCATTTGGATTATATGCCAACGGATTTGTTACATTTACTCTCTCTCTCTCTCTCTCTATATATATATATATATATATATATATATAAAACGAACTCTTAAAGAAAATGAATGACAATGATGATATTTATTTCATTAAGATCAAGAGATCTCAACCTTTCAGACTGACTCCTTACATCCAAATTCTGGTTTTACAACTTGTTCAAACCCATTAAGTATATCACACGTTGCTTTCTTTTGTCCCTCTTTCCCACTATGCGTCCTGTGGGTATCAGATTTTCCAAGCCCTCCTTCCTCATTACGTTTCCCAGAAATTTCAGCTGCTCTTCCTGGTCTTAAGCATAAGTAACCTTTTTGTTTCCATTCTCTCCAAATCCTGATCGTTGCTCGCACGTCCGGCCCATCCTTAGCATCCTTCTGCAGGACCACATTTCTACTTCTTCGAGTCTCTTCTTCATCTTCGACAACTGGACTCGTTTCAAGCTCAGAAAGGCATGAAAATAGAATCAAAATTGAAATGTAGATTCGGTAATAAAGAAATACATACTTCTTCTTTTATGTACCGTGTCCCTTCAGGACGTAGGCGATCATATCTCTCCACCTTTTCCTGTCCTTTGTAGCTCTTAATAAGTTTTCTCTTTTTGTTATTTCACCCAGACCTTGTTCCACCATCCACTTGCTCAAGCCCATTATGTCACACGTTGCTTTTCCCTGTCTGTCTTTCCCACTATCCGTCCTATGAGTACCAGATTTTCCAAGCCCTCCTTTCTCATTACGTTTCCAAGATATTTCAGCAGCCTCTTCCTGATGTTAAGTATAAGTTTTCTCTTTGTTTCCATTCTCTCTAAATACTGGTCGTTGCTCAGATATTCGGTCCATGGTATCCTTAGCATCCTTCTGTAGAACCACATTTCTTTTGCTTCAAGTCTCTTCTTCATTTTTCAGGAGATTGTCACGTAATCAATTTATTCATTTTTCGGAATACCTTTTTCGCTCGTCCAGTGTTCGGATTTCGGTGTCACATTTTTCATTCTCTGTTAAAACATTCTTCAAATATTTAAAATTCTCTACATTCTTGATGTTAACATTTCCAATTTGCAACTCGCATCATTGGCTTTTCTTCTTGGCGATGACCATACTTTCCGTCTTACGACCATATCACGTTGAAACACCGGTTCTTGTCCAATCACCGAAGTTAAGCAACGTTGAACCTGGTCAGTACCTAAGTGGGTGACCATCTGTAAGCTTGGATATACTGCTGGCTTAATGGATAAGTGCTCGGAAATGTTGAGAGCCGAGTTCCAATTCCAGTTGTGTTTCACTTACGCGCAAATACCATTGGGAAAGGTATGAATCCACGCCTTCTCTTCCGCTCCCCCAGCTATGGGTTAATAAGACTTATATTACTGAAACCATTATTATCTAAAAAAATAATAAAATTGTGTAAAAATATTTAGATTTCGGTATTATATAACCCATAGAGGTTGAGATGCTTAATTTCTAAGCGTAGCTTAGATGTGGCACAAGGCCAAAAGTATAGAGCACCGAGTGAGGGTCGAATTTTCAGTACAAATTTAGGTGTATTAGGTGTATTATGGATGAAGGCGTATTATACATGGGAGAATTATGGTATTAGGCTGACGGGAGGGTATACTCTTCATGGTATCTGTCTGTGTAATCGCAAATATTGGCAGTGACCATCTCCTTACCCGGTAACAGGTTATACTGGGTTATACGGTATCGGCAACAAAGAGTGACCTCTGACCTGAACTATTATGAAATGACCAATATGGATTGTCTTCAGAAGGCCACTGATTTTCAAGTGACCTTTTATTTATCTTTGGCTATCAACTAGTTTCTTTTCTTTCATACTCTATCTATATCCCTTTTTTCTCTCTCTCTCTCTCTCTTTTCTCCGTCTTTCCTTTTACCGGTTCCCGTACTATCACCGAAGCAAGGTCGAGTCTGGTCAGTACCTAGACGGGTGACCGTTTGGGAATACAAGTTGCTGTAAGTTTGGATGTGCGGATGGTGTAATTGATAATGGTACGGAATTGTTAATCTGAGAGCCGAGTTCTAATTCCAGTTGGGTCCATTATATTCACTTACACGCAAATACACTTTCGAAATCCACCTCTTTTCCTACCCTTGCTTTTCGAATGCCTCTTTCGTTAATCCAATGTGTGTTCGGATTTCCCGGATAGTTAATCTTCCACACCTGCTTATTGATATCTGCATTTCGCAACGCGCATCTTGGGATTATCGTCTAGTTGATGTCTTCTTGCAATTCATGATTAGTCCTTTTCTTTTAAATGTTTGAATTGATATCACTGCTTATTTGTTTTTGCTTAAAGGGCGAATTTATTAACAACCGGTCTAGATTAGAAAAAAAAATCTATAAATTATTGTGTGTCGGATACAAAAATCTAGTAAGGAAATATAGACTTGGAAAAGTGCCAACAAGAGATTTGCTTTTCTTAAGTAAATAATGGAACTTTGTTTTATCCTGATGGCCTCCTGTGGCTTAATTGCCAACGGCACACTTCATCTATAGGAGCGGTTTCCCTGATGGATAAAGTTAGATTTTCTGTTGGGAGGTATATTTTTCTTTTAGTCCTGGGTATGATGATAAACTACACCCGGCAGAAAGGCTTCTGATCGGGAGATTGGAGGTTTTGATAAGCATGGAACCACCTCTTAATTGCTGTTATTACTCGGCGTAGTGTAATGGTTAGCAAGCTTGTCAAGCTAGATCAGTTACGACTGAAAAGTGACTTCAATCCTCACTGGGTTCCCCATACTTTCGGCCTTGCGCCACATCTAAGCTAGGCTTAGAAAATAACTATATTATGGAACCTCGAGGTGGTGTAATGGTTAGCATGCTTGTCCCGCTAGAACAATTACGACTGAGTAGTGAGTTCGATCCTCACTGGGTCCCCCATACTTTCGGCCTTGTGCCACATCTGAGCTACGCTTGGAAAATCACTTTATAGTAAAATTACCAACAATACTTATTTATAGTAAAACTACCAACAATATCTATTTATAACAAAATGACCAATAGTCTCTATTTATAATAAAATTGCCAAAAATACTTATTTATATTAAAATTACCAGCAATGTATTTTATCCCTTTTTGAAGGCATGCAATTGCATTGAAAATATATTTAGTTGAAACCAAAAGATTGCGTTTCGGCATGAAATAATTTATAGAGGTTGATATGCCGCTAAACAAAATCAACCAACCAACATTTTTATTTTGTTGGACTTCGTGACCTAGGCTCATTTCATTGATATTAATCATTGATGTTAATAAAATAAAAAAGACAGGGATGTCAACCTAAATAGGTGTATCCACTGAAAATAACGTTAATAGACTAAGGAATAATTTCGAAATGTACGTATATATATATATATATATATATATATATATATATATATATATATATATATGCAAAATTCACTATAATTGAAAAATAGAAATAGACAGAAAATATGACCTTAGAAAAATACTAGAGGAACATGAAGGTAAATGGATTTTTCCCTTCAAAACACTTCGTCGAGACGGTGGATAGAATAGACAACCCCATAAATCAAGCCCTACTCACATTTCTCATCCACACAAGACAGACAGGTCTCACACTTATACACATACGCACACAAATATATACACATCACACACATTCCCAAAGAACTAAAAGATAACATATACTTAATACACACATCCCCTTCCCAGCAACCAATAAAACTGTCAAAATGACTAAGGAGGGAATTCTGAGTCGGAATTCTGCCATCGCCTGTCTTAAAAAAAAAAAAATTCAAAGAGGCCGTTTGACCAACACAAGGACTGACCAGAATTAACGTTAAAAGAACAAATGAAAACTACAGATAAAGTTCGCTTTCTTCAGAAACAGTCATTCACTCCTGTAATTCACGGCTATTAATAAGCAAGGATTTTTCTCCTGATAACTACTCGAGGAAAATGATTGAAATAATAAATCATAAAAATATTTATATACCAACCAGTGTGATGAAAATTTTATTTTTTTAAATATTTTTATTGTTCAATATATATATATATATATATATGATGAGTTGTGATACAGCGAAACAGTCTGACTGTGGATGACAATATATATATATATATATATATATATATATATATATATATATATATATATATATATATATATATAGGAAGATCATGTCTGAAAAGTGCGCCTTAATTCAAAAATCCCAAGGCCCGCTCAGCATAGTTGCTGTATAAATCACAATTGAACTTTCTGTGAGTTGAAGAACCACAAATAAGAACTTGGTGCAACGTCTGACCTCATTGCTACATAAGTTTAGGAATGCAGTATCTGTTGCACCTATTTGCAAAGATGCATTAATGATGGTGCTTTATGAGAAAAATGGTAGCCAAGATGATTGGAATCTCTATACTCTCTGACACTGACAGTCTTCCTAACACTCTTACAATCTAAAAATATTTTCTGTTTTTAAATAAGCCGCAAAGAGTTGATAAACCATATTTCTGCTGCCTTCTTCATCTGTGAGGAGATTGTTCAGCATTCACTGCAATATGGGACAGATATAACAGTCCAGTACTCTTTTCTTTGATTCTAACGAATTTTTTCTGTCTCTTAATACTCTGCTTAGTTTTTGAAAGGCATCTTTGGCTATCTCAATGAGATCTTCGTATCGCACTTTACGTCCTCTGTGAGAAACCTTTTCAGATATTGTCTAGCATTTACTGACATATAGGAGCACCGAATTTATATAACAGTCCAGTACTCTGTTTCTTTGTTTCTAATAAACGATTTTTGTCTTTTAATATTTTCTTGAATTTTGGGAGATATTTTTCGCTATATCAAATACGTCTTCGAATTTCGGTGTCACCCTTTCCGTCCTTTGTTAGAACATTGCCGAGATATTAAATTTTTTGTATTTCTCTGATTTTGGCATCTACAATTCATAGTCCGCCTCACTGGATGTTCCTATTGCTACAGCCGTACATTTTGTGCTTCTTTCAATTGATGCTTAGTCCCTTGTTCTGTCTTTCTTTTACCACCTTCTGTAGGAGTTCCTGCAGGTCTTGGCCATTTAGCGAGAATTGAAGATCTGTATCTTTAAGCATAATCTTTAAGGAAATGAGGCTTGAATTTCGAAGGGAGCATGAACAGATGAAAGGGTATTCGTGAAAGTTTTTCGAGTTTCATTGGCCTAGAACTAGGGATAACCATCAAGAAGTATTTATTTGTATTTGCGATAGAGATAATCTATAAAAAGGATTAGAAAATCTATATATTTTAAGGTTTTATTGAAATTTTATTTAAGTTTCCACATGTCTTCCATCATTAGCAATACAAAGGGTAATACGATTTTGCAGTTCACGGAAAACATTTGCCAACTGATTTACAGTAATGCCTGAAATCATATTAGTTATTTTAGCTATACTTAAAACTAGATACATTAAACTTTATAACATTTTGACAGATTATTTCTATCGCAAAAACAAATAAAGTTATAAATTTTTTAAAGTGCACACGAACTTTATGGACACCCTGGATATATATATATATATATATATATTTATATATATATATATATATATATATGGACATGGGTAAATCAGACATCTAGGTATTAGCAATCGTATATACATGCGTTAGCTGCATACGAAAGTAAGCGAATGAATATTTACTCATTTTAATTTAAGGTGAAAAACAAGAGTGCTCAATGTGGTTAGACAGAGCTAAAACGTACATATTAATAATTCACTTCTAAGTTGATTAATTTCTTTCTCTATTTTTGTTTTTTCCAAAATAATTCTTCATGTCTATGAGACAGCATTTTTACTTTGATATTTAAGTTTTTATTTGCTGCTATTGCTGATCCATATATTGCTGATGCATACATTGCTACGTTGAGATTTATATGCGGGTCTACGTCATCCAGAATTAATTTGAGTGCTGCATTCAAGAGTTTAATAGTTCTGAGTTGGTTTTCTTTGTTGGTTTTAATTTTGAGAGTTGTTCTCGTTCCTCCATTTCAATATTTTGTGTCTGATTTATATGTCTCATGATTTCTTCCTTGGCTTCTTGTATACGTTTCTTGTTTTCCGTAAAATAATTCTGTTCAGTTTATTTTGAATTCGTTTTATTGCAAACTCGTGAGCGGCTAAGTTCCCGCCTTTCCAACTCTTTTAAACTTTCAACATCATCTTCACAGTGATTGGTGTATAT